ACAGTATTTAAGTTTTTCGTATATAGATTGAAAGATATAGTCATAAATTTACCATTAACTCCATATCTTCGTAAACAAGACAATAACAGATGATGTGGGCAGCTGTCGAAAGCTTTACGGAAATCTACGTAAAACACGTAGATTCTACCCCTTTTTACTGATAGATACTTTTGGATAATAGACTGTAGATTAAACAAGTTGTCAATAGTTGAATACCCTTTTCGAAATCCTGCCTGTGATTCATCAATGACGTCATTATCGTCACACCATGTATTAAGTCTTTTTGACAAATATTTACAAATATCTTGCTTATGCAATTTGAGAGGGCTATAGCGCGATAATTATTAGGGTCGTACAGTGATCCTTTTTTGTGGAATTGGTTTGAAATTATGTTTTCGCTCCATGAATTAGGAAAATGTCCACTATCGAAAATTTCATTGAATAATCCAACCAAATATTCTGCCACTATATTGGCAGTGCTTTTAAACATTTCGCAACATATGCCATCTACTCCAGGAGCGCTTTTAGATTTCAATGAAGAAATGCTTAACATAATTTCCTCTTTTTGTAATTGGAGTATTTAAGTAACTCGCATCTCTCTCCTCAACAAGATTATTGATTGGTGGTGGGCTTGAAGTCCTTAATATATCAGCGCTATTTTGTGTTGTGAATAAATTGCGAAAATAATCAAACCATTTCGTCCCCGTTTATATAATTTGTAACACTCTTTATTATCGGTTTTGCCCTTTTCAGTGTTTCCCAGAATTGTTTTATGGATCGTTGCTACTCGCAATAAGGTTTTCGCGTCTTTCCTTTTCGCATTGTTTTCGTTTCATTTTGCAGGTATTTTTAAATTCATTTCGTTTTCGCAACATAATGTTCGAAGTCGACCTGATGCGCTAGTGTGCCGAAATGTTCGTAAGCATTTATACTTTTCGCTTTTTAACTTGATGCAGGTACTATCCCACCATTCAGGCTGAATATCACTGTTGCGCGGTGTCCGGCATCTTAACCTTTTCATGCACGCACCTGCGTTTTTTATACAATGCCATAAAATCCGATAACTTACTTAATATGTTTTCTCTAGTGCACGTTCCAATAAAATCTGAATATAATCTAGTAAAGTTTGTAGAAAGGCTTCTCGCAGATCATTCTTCCATTTATACTGGTAAACTGTTTTCAGTTTATTATCACAAAACAGCGGCTCTTCTCAAGAGCAAAGGAAAGTGTACAATATAGTGGGAAGTGATCTGAAAAGTCATCAGTTCCGACGCCGAAATCCGTTACAAAAATCGAATATAGCCGTTGACGCTATGAAATAATCCACCGTACTTAGTCCGTTATTTGCCGTGCACGTTGATTTCACCTTTAGTATCTTGAAATAATCGGCCATTTAGAGTATGCATATCTAAGGTGCAACACATTTCTATTAATGACTTACCAAACTTATTTATAGTACTGTCTTTATTGTTTTTATGCATTTCAAACGTATCTGCAGGGTAATCAGTTTCTCCGAATATGAAGTCTACTTCGTCATGAGGTATATAGTCTTTCAAATCACCAATTCGGGCATTAAGATCGCCCGCAACCATATAGTTAGCAGCGGGGTAATCCGTTCATGATATTTCCTATATTGTTACTTAGAAGTTCAATGCCATCTGTGTCGATTTGATTTCGTAAATAGGAGATCTCTCCGGTGAAACATAAGCGAATATTATGATTAGATCTTTATCCATATGCCCAAGCGATCTCAAACGAAGAACAACACAGTTTTCGAAATGACTGGTATAATCTCTCCACATAATTACTCAACATTCTTTTATATAAACAGTAACTCCTCCAGACCCTCTTTTATTTTTTACTTTTTCTAATATTTGATATGTGCCATATAACCTGGAATCATAAAATGTTCGTCTGCACGAGTCCACGTTTCACATAATGCCAAAGATATCGTATTTTTGAGCAAAAGTTATAAAAAGTCACGTCTCCGTCATATTTATTTAATCCTTGTATATTAAGAGAACATAATTTCACATTTAAAACATCGCTATTTACAGTTGTGTATCGTGGGTCTTGGCCACTCTGCTATTTGCTAGCCTGCACGGGTTTCTTTTCAATTGGGTCAAATACGTACGACTCTCCATCAACTATGAGTTTATCATATTTGAAAAAGGCGCTCTTTCCATCTTCATAAAACATTGCTTTAGAAAAGGATATAGACCTGTGCGGGCCTTTGCTACCCTTTCAGGCAGGTCTTCAACGATTCTTCCTCGCACAATTTCATGTTTGCGTTTTTTCCTTGTAAGCATTTAGAACTTTATCACGATCCGATTGTCGCGTTGAACTTAACTAGCACGGCTCTCTCAGCTCGTCCCGGAAGTTTAAAGGCTGCATTTATATCTAATGAGTCTCCGTCTAAACCAAAATTATTTGTTAAATGTTGACGAACGCTTAATTCTACTTGATCCGGTTGAATATTGTCAATATTTTCGATTCCGTGGATTTTCAAATTGTTTTTTCGGATATGCATTTCCAATTTTTTCGTGTTTAAGTTCAAGTTTCGAGTTTTGATCTTTAACAGCTTTTAAGTCATTGGACAAAGACTCAACTTTACTTGAAAGGATGACATTTTCCGCTTTTATTTGACTATTCTCGAGTTTTTATTTCTTCGACCGATTTTTCTAACGTATCAAATCTTCTGTTGATTTGTCTTAATTCTGATCTGATATCTAGTAAAAGACGTCACGTTCAAGTTTTCATCATTTTTTGATTGGGATGACAGTGAAGATACCGATGTTCCATCTGCAGTAGATGTTTTCTGTTGCGTAGCGTCTGGTTGTAGCCAAGGTACGAGAGACGCTTGACCAGGACTACGCGTAGAATACATATGCCCGGCATCATCTGTTACGCTACTCTGCGAAAGGTCGAACTCGTTTGTCGGTGTCGGTGGATGGGATGAAGCAATGGATGATCGCCCACCACGACCGCCCCCGCGTGGTCTACCGCTTGTCGGTCCTGGATTTCGCTCAACGCATTGTGCCGTTAGAAGAAGAAAAAGCAGAATTCGTATGCATAATGATAAATAATGACTGGAGGCGGTAGTCGTTAGACAATTTTTTTTGTGACTGGACGGATTAATAAATGTCCCGATTCTTGCTCGCCATAGTCCGATCGTAATCCCCATTATCTCCTTAACACAGTATCAATAAGTACAGTTAACGTAATTAATTTCATTTCAACTCTCGTAAATGGTAATATTTTAATGTCTGTTTCAAGAACGTTGACGTTGAAAATTTGAACTTCAAGAGTGCAATGCCAGACCTTTTATACTGGCTATAATCATTTGCAGTGTAAACATTAGAATATCCAAAACGTCAGCATTTGCTGCTTAAATATTGCATACCATGTTAAAAATGCTGCTGAAATATTGTATATCATGTTAAAAATAAAAAAAATTAAACACCCAAGCTTTTATTGAATTAAATCGATGTCATGTACATATCTGTCTGGACACATGGTAGATCTACTGTAGTGCGGACAATTTAGGTAATTTTGATACCCTCAGATGTAAGTGTCAACATCATTAGAAATAATAAAACTAGTTTGTAAGTAAGGAAAAGAACTTAGCTGTACTGTGTCTAATATTCAGATCTCCGTTGATGGTCCCTGAACAGTAGAATAAAATATTTTAAAGTGAATTCTGAGATGTGTATGGTAATTGATAGGAATAATATGAAGCTGGTGGTTACTCAGACTCGTGTATCCAACGCCAATTACATTTTGTTTTCTAGAACATATACATACTCATACTATGAGAATATAATCTTTTTTTGTTTTCTTTTCATCATCTCTCTATTTTGCTTTCTGTCTTAATACATCCTTTTTTGTTGTTTATGTTTTCTTAACATTTTGAAATGCATTTTAGGCAAACCATATAGTCCGCCAAAGGAGCAGATATCTATATACTAGTATTCTAACCATTTTCTGAAGTGCTATTTAGTTCATGGTGTCAATTTTATGGAAACGTCTTATAAAATGTTGTTTTAAAAACCTTTTTCTCTATGTACCAACTTCCAAGGACCATAGTTTTTTTTATAAATGTTTGTTTTTACATTGTTTTACCCAAAGTGATAAAATAAAAGCCATGTGTTCACTTTACCTATGTAAGAATTTCAAATTTTGTATCTTTAGGCAGTTTGACCTCAGCGTAGCGCCTGTTAAGGATATTTAAATCGGCAAAGCCGAGTGCTTCGTGTTGTTATTTGATAATCATATTACAAATGTCAACGTGATAATTCCAAACATGTGCATTATTTAACAAGAAGTTTAATTTAAATTTTCGTAAAAATAGGAAGTACCACACAATTACAGTGTCCAATCACCTTAAGCAGCATATATATTATTCTATATGAAATGAATATAACTGAGCCTGTAAAATCATAATTATTCGTTGGGCACAAATTCACATGGTTTTTGTGGGTAGGTCAATCCATGAATTTAAGATCCGAAGAAATTTTATCCCAACAAATACTTCTTGCCATATCTCTATTCTATATATTTCAAACATGCATTGGCGCTTTTCCACCGATTTTTTGTGTAATGAATGCCCAGAGGCAAGGATTAAATTTATTGACAAGCGCTGTGTGATACGTAAAGATATGTATATGCGGTGAGTAAAACGCGCGGCGATTAAGTGTAAGATTACTTTGCATTAGTTTATATTTTTTTACTATTTTTACAAGAAATTGAAAATCCACGAATTTAAGAACCTGCGAGTATGCCCTTTGTTGATAAAACCACAAAATTTTATGCCCACGAATATAAGTGAATTTACAGTATTAGTGATGGAACAAGTGGTTGAATGATTACCATGTGCGATTTCAATTTCTCAATTTCATCATCTGAATTATATTCCCCAATTTCAAAGTCAAGTGCTATGAACTGAAAGGTTTAACTTTTTAAAACTTCCTTATTGTCTGAACCGGTATATATAAAACTGTATAAAACTGAATCTCAAAAAGTAAAGCATATAAAGAGCGGGAGTTCACTCTGAGAAGAGTAAAAATGAGTCCGAAATTTTTCGGAATAAATTTTAGTGTTTTAGTGATCTGTATGTTTATAACAGTAGGGAAATCACAATATTGGAAAGGGTGAGTTTTTTTAATATTTTAAATTATATATATGACTTGTTTATTCAATTTCTGAATTATTGTTATCTATTTGATTCATGATCTGAGATTCCTTATCGTTTTGTTGTTGTTTTTTTTTTGTTTTTTTTAAATTGTTTTTTTGGCAAAAGAAAAAACATATTTTTGTTTAAAAACCTAAATATAACATAAATACAAATGCAAAATGAATGAGATTGTTTGTAACTGTCACACATTATATTTTACATGTGCTTAAACCTTTAATTTTTATCTCTTGATCCCAACAAATTTGCTTGGCCATTTTAAGATATAATAATTATTAATGGTGATTAATACGATAAGTAACATTATAAGATATTAGTTGACGGTTTCTGTTGGGTATATGCATTTATCACATAAACCGCGGCGCAGGAGTGTAATAAACCATTTAATAAAACCTATATTACACTTGTGTAATAACACTTTGATGTGACGTCATTTGCGTTATATACATGTACAAACATAGCGTAAAAGTGCGCTAATGTATAAGCATTGCACAATTATAAGGCGTGTCAATGAAAGTGTGTCATTTTAACAGTTTACCATTCTTATTTTAGATATGTGATAAATGGAATATTATATTTGTGTAGATTTAATACTAAATTTATTGAATGCATTGAATAAAACAATATTATGCTCGCCAGAGGCTCGCATAATATGATTTTATTCAACACCTTCAATAAATTTAGTTTAAACCTACACTCATTCAATATCCCCTATGAACGTTTAATCTCTGACTTTGTTTATCTACCATGGTGTCTGTCTTTCTGTCCGTCACTTATATTTATTTGTCTTTGAAAAAATGAAATACATGTTATTATTATTATTGTATTGTTAGCATAATTATCGTGACCATCTTCCTCATCTGTTGCTTTTTGGCAATAAGTACAGTAAAATTATAATGAATTAGTATTTTGTATGGAAGTCAAATTACTACTTTTACATTTTGTTAATTTTATGCCAAAGTATTTCAAGTTTATTGCTACTTTTTCTTGGTAGCATTTGCATCTAACGCCCTAAAGACCATTATTTAAACATTATGTAATTCATGCTTACCCTTTCTTAAGAATAAAATATTTTCTGAGAGATAATGTGCCTTTAAATGAGCCAAAAGTGAAAATCACCCAGAACCATGATTCTTTTTGTGTGTTTGTTAATTTCCAAATTGATTAGTAGTTAGGGGTATTGTGTGAAAAAAATTATCAGACATAAGTGAAAACATACTTATATATAATAAATATCTTTGTATAATGATTAAATGCATGATTTTTTAACAGAAACTTTCTCTTAATTAATCATACTAAATATGTTAACTTAATATAAATTTGAGCCGTGTCATGACAAAACCAACATAATGGGTTTGCGACCAGCATGGATCCGCACAGTCTGATCAGGATCAATGCTGTTCGCTTACAAACTCTATAACCAGTGTAGAAACCGATAGTGAACAGCATGGATCCTGATCAGACTGCGCAAACCCATTATGTTGGTTTTGTCGTGACACGGCTCATTTCTTCTCAACAAATTGTAACTACATATTACTATCATCCTAAGAATGTAATATAGCCATTTTCAATTGTATATTTGTATATGTTTATATATGTATACTGCTGATGTTTCCTGCTATTGTAGGACTTGTAAATAAATTGAAAATTGAATCTTTCTCGCTTGGAATTAGACAAGGGGAAGTTTATAACCTATTTCATTTCTTATGTACCTAAATGATATAGAAGAGATGTTTTAACTTAGAAAGTATTATTATTATTATTATTAGTATTATTATTATTATTATCGTTTTATTATTATTATTATTATTATTATTATTATTATTATAAGCAGACGATAAATTTTCAATTTGCACATCACACAACTATGGACCTTGTAGCTGGTAAATATGATGTGATATGCACTGAAAAAGGTTACTATTGACCATGTGACCATGCTGTTTGTAATATTATCTGCATGCTTATATGATACTTTTTCTAAGTGAAACACTTAAAAATTAAAATCAAGTATATAACCAGGTTTGCCACAGCGCTGAGTATCTTTCTTTTTCTTAAAGTATTTCTTGTTTTTCTTAAATTACAGACATATCGAGCCTTATAAAGAATGGAAGAATAAGACATGTAGAGAATGTATTTGCCAGTATCCAACGTAAGCAGATTTATCTTTGCATCCTTTCAAATTTTACCACTCTTGTTAATAATAAATTGGTTATCCATTAGTAGCCTATAGAAATTGTTCATATGTTCTTTAATTTTTGTGTCAATCACATAATAAGAGTCGTTCAATTCTTTTTTCATATCATCAATTAAAGGGAGTTGTAACGATCACTTGTTCGTAAATCACTTGTTCGTATTCGCTGTTTTTTCAAAAACTAGTTTAATTTGTGATAGGTCGCTAAGGGTGTGTGACATTGGTGTTATGTCAAACTAAACTATTCACCATCATTTTGATAATGTTTGTCATTTGTATATTTAGGAAAATGATATCAATTCTGAGTGCATTGTTGTAGAATAATGCACGGTTTGAGTTCAAATGCGTAGTAATATAATCACGAAGGCCGATAGGCCTGAGTGATTAATTACAAAGCATTTGAACGAAAAACGTGCATTATTATACAATAATGCACGAAAAATTAATATCTATTTCCATTCTAACACGTCAAGAAAAAATATAATTATTATTATAAAGTTGGACTTTATGTTTGGCGGTTAAATTTGTTTTCGCCTCAGAGTTTCCAATAGAAACGTTCTTTAAAGGCCGTTCCAGTGGGTTGAAAAAAATGTCGTTAAATCTACCGTGTGTAGAAACATTTTGAGAATAACAAATTTTGAAAACGTTGATAAAACTTTGTTTGTTTATTTTATTTCAGTCTATAATTTTCAAAGCGAAATACAAATTATTAAAAGTGAAATAAATGTAAAACTTAATTCGTCTGCGACGTTAAAATAGCGTACTTGATTTTGATTGTTTTGCACGTGCTGTTAGGCGCTACATTGTGACGTCACGTAAACAACACTTTAAACGTCAGTACAGCGTTAACGACTGAATTAAAGATATTGGTGTTCGGATTTATTTTCTTAGTTAGACCATTTTCTTTCATTCTAGATAGTTTTCACAACAAAGTTCGACAAAAAATTGTTTTAATTTATCAGATTTTTCAAACAAAATGGCGCCCTCAATGTGAAAATACACAGGGAGATAATAAGAACGGCGAGTGCATTGTTGCAGAATAATGCCACTTCGGGCCTTCTTTGTTTATATAGAAAAAATTCCGATAGTGTTAGAATTAGGAAATAGATATCAATTCTGAGTGCATTGTTGTAGAATAATGCACGGTTCGAGTTCAAATGCGTAGTAATATAATCACGAAGGCCGATAGGCCTGAGTGATTAATTACAAAGCATTTGAACGAAAAACGTGCATTATTATACAATAATTCACGAAGAATTGATATCTATTTCCATTCTAACACGTCAAGAAAAAATATAATTATTATTATAACGTTGGACTTTATGTTTGGTGGTTGAATTTGTTTTCTCCTCAGAGTTTCCAATAGAAACGTTCTTTAAAGGCCGTTCCAGTGGGTTGAAAAAACTGTCGTTAAATGAACCGTGTGTAGAAACATTTTGAAAATAACGAATTTTGAAAACGTTTATACAACTTTGTTTGTTTATTTATTTCAGTTTATAATTTTCCAAGCGAAATACAAATTATTAATAGTGAAATAAATGTAAAACTAAACTCGTTTGCGACATTAAAATAGCGTACTTGATTTGATTGTTTTGCACGTGCTGTTTGGCGCTACATTATGACGTCACGTAAACAACACTTTAAACGTCTGTACAGCGTTAACGACTGAATTAAAGATATTGGTGTTCGGATTTATTTTCTTAGTTAGACCATTTTCTTTCATTCTAGACAGTTTTCACAAAAAAAATCGTCAAAAATTGTTTTAATTTATCAGATTTTTTAAACAAAATGGCGCCTTCAATGTGAAAATACACAGGGAGATAATAAGAACGGCGAGTGCATTGTTGTAGAATAATGCACTCTTCCGGCCTTCTTTGTCTATACAGAAAAAATTCCGATAGTGTTAGAATGATAAACTATCCACTGCTTCCATATATATGATATTGGTATAATGGGCCAAATCAAACTATTCACAGCCTCTCTGATTATTTTTATCATAATTACAATGCCAAACCAAACTATTCACCATCTCCACCAGCTCTCTGATTATGTATGGCAATGGAATATCAAACCAAATGTTTCACCCTTTGTCTGATTGAATTTTTTCAAGAACATTATTATTTATATGGCCTCGAAGGGCGGCTTATTAAAAGCCCACTGTCAGGCTTTCCTTCCGGGTGCATGAGAGGACACTTGTTGTGTAATTCTATTGATTCCGTCAGTATTATTGGGTACTCTTGTTCTCTTATTGGGTACTTTTAAACAAAACAAGCAATTATCATAGTATTGCAAGCAATCCATAAGTCCCCTACCGGTAAGAGCCCAAGCAACATTCTGAAGGGCCATTGGCCATTCACTTATGTTCCTATTTTAAGTAAATTTGTTGAAAAAATTCTTTAAAAGTGATCACAGGAAACAGTTTTTATGTACAGAAAGACAGACGGACTGAAGGACACTCTTAAGTTATTTTTTAAACATCCCTGTTATCAAAATATAACATTTTTAAAATCCTATCATAATTGAAGAAGTTGGAGTAAAAATTACCAATTTCTCAAAAAAAAGTCTAAGTTCAAAAGGGGCATAATTCTGGAAATAGTCTTGCTAGAGTATTGAACACTCACAAATGTTGAGTGATAATAAGAAACATTTATATAAAGTTTGAAGTAGATACATTCAGAAAAAGAAGTTATTAAAAAAAAACAATGTTTTTTTTCATGAAAATTTTAAGTTCAAGGGAGGTAATTCTGATAAATTTTGTGCTAGAGTTGTAAACCTTGTCACATATGATGTGGTTGATGACAAGCAACTTATATTTAAAGTTTGAAGAAAATACCTTAAGAAATAAAGAACTTATAGTGAAAAAACTTAAAAACTAGAATCAGAAATCTTGAAATTCAGTCTATTTGTTGCCATAGCAACCAGAATTTTCAACATAGGAAGATAAGAAAAGGATGTGCATAATTTCCATACTGCCATCTACCCATATGTCAAGTTTCATAAAAATATTTTCAGTGCTTTTCACTGGATCCAGGTTATGTGTAAAATTTGCCATATTTTCAGTCTATTTGTTGCCATAGCAACCAGAATTTTCAACATAGGAAGAAAAGAAAAAGACGTGCATAATCTCCATACTGCCATCTATCCATATATCAAGTTTCATAAAAATATTTTCAGTACTTTTTGCGTTATCGCGGATCCAGGTTATGTGTAAATTTGCCATATTTTCAGTCTATTTGTTGCCATAGCAACCAGAATTTTCAACATAGGAAGAAAAGAAAGAAAAGACGTGCATAATCTCCATACTGCCATCTATCATATATATCAAGTTTCATTAAAAATATTCAGTACTTTTTGCGTTATCGCGGATCCAGTTTTGTGGACGGACGGACTGACGGACGGACAGACGGACGGACGGACAGACGGACGGAGGGTAAACCTAAAGTCCCCTCCGGTAAACCGGTAGGGGACTAAAAAGCACCCAATAAATGTCCATTGGTAGGAATGTCCGTCTGTGCTTCCCTACTTCATTCATGTTCAGACTGTAACTTTGTTATACATTGAGAAATTGGCACACATGTCTACCGCATTAAGATGTGTCATGTACAAGAACCGCGTCCCTACCTCAAAGGTCAAGGTCACACTTACATTATTTTTGAAGTTTCACATCACATTTTGAGTTAAAAGGTACACACAATGGTGTCCAAACTGTAACTTTGTCATGTATGGAAGGATTTTATAATAACTTGGCATAAATGTCTAGCACATAAGAAAATGTGTCGCGTCCAAGAATAAATATGTCCCTACCTCAAAGGTAAATGTCACACTAACATTTTGAAGTTTCACATTTTCAAATTAGAGTTAATAGGTTCACAATTATTCAAGTTCCGGACTGTAACTTTGCCATGCATCAAAGGATTTTAAAATAACTAGGCATAAATGTTAACCACATCAAGGCGATGTGCATGTAGCTTCCAAGAATTATGTCCCTACCTCAAAGATCAATGTCACACTTACATTATGAAGTTTCTCATTTTCACGATTAGAGTTAATAGGTACACATATTATGTCCGGGCTGTAACTTTGTCATGCATCAAAGGATTTTAGAGTCACTAGGCATAAATGTCTACCACATCAGGACGATGTGTTGCGTTTAAGAATCACGTCCCTACCTCAAAGGTCAAAGTCACACAAACATTTATTTTTGAAGTTTCACATCACAATTTGAGTTAAAAGGTACACACAATGGTGTCCAAACTATAACTTTGTCATGTATGGAAGGATTTTAAAATGACTTAGCATAAATGTCTACCACATTAAGACGATGTGTCACGTCCAAGAATAAATATGTATACCTCAAAGGAAAATGTCACACTAACATTTTGAAGTTTCACATTTTCAAATTAGAGTAAATAGGTTCACATATTCAAGTTCCGGACTGTAACTTTGTCATGCATCAAAGGATTTTAAAATAACTAGGCATAAATGTTTACCACATCAAGGCGATGTGCCGCTTCCAAGAATTATGTCCCTACCTCAAAGGTCAATGTCACACTGTAATGTTATGTGGTTTTGTATGTGAGTATATCACAAGTAGACAAACGTATAACTCAAATGAGAAATAAGATACACAAGTGTGTTATATGACTACAAGTTTAATACTGAAGTATAATCTCTTAACAAGAACTGTTGGACTACATATTTCTATATGGCATGCCGCATAGTATGCATTTATTATAAACAGTCTCATATTAGCATCTCTGTTCTTTTAATAAAAGAATTTGAATTGTTATATCATAACAGGCAGACATTCAATATTAGAAAATATGTTTAAAAGTTTAAACATTGATAATATATATTGAATCTGTTTGAGAATTATATATTTTAGCTATTTTCATATATAAGTTATACATTAAATCAATCATTACGAACTAATCTATTTATTTACACAATGCATCGTT